ATCCTGAGGCAGCTAGCCACAAGCAGTTGCTTAATATGTATTTCCTACTGCTATTTTTTATTGCTCAAGAATACAGCAAAATAACAACCGTCACCATACAAGCATGATATTCAATTCAAACAATTCTATGTGCAAGAAGTTCTCATATATATATATATATATACACACACACACACACCCCCCTCATAACACACAATATGGACCTAAGTCTGTACCAGGCCATACAGACAGGTTTCAAGAAGACCTTTAGCAATCAATCATCAAACAAAAGAAAAGCTTCAAGAAGGCTACAATTACAACCAAAAAAGACAAAACCATGATTTTTATTTTAAAAGAACTCAAAAGAGTTATCTTCAGGAAGATATTATTGTTTCCCTGGATGATAATCAGTGCTAGGGCAGAAAAATAAAAAGAGTTACCTGCATACCAGATGTGAATTTACACAAGTCACCCACAAACTCAAACTGTCAGAATTCTGCCAGCAAAGGCCCATCCCTCTCCATGCTTGCAAAAAACAAGGACAGAAAACAGAAACAAAGTAACCGACACCACATAGGCTCATCCATAGGCACCAGAGAGGAAAGACTGTTGCCACAAGCTGTGATGTCTTAATGCTCTCAACTTAAACAAACTGCTAAATAAATCTCTCTCTCAAAAAGAAACTGGTCACCCAGGAGCCACATCCATGTACAGTTAACACAAACCAACCCCAACTGAAGAACGCCACAGTGAAGACTGTTCCTTGAATCTGAAGTTTTGTTTGGCCTTAACTCTTGACAAGGGAGCTCTGCTTCTCCTCTGTTGTCCCACTTCTGATCAAACAAGTGCATCAGTTTCCACAAGGATAGCCATTCCCTGGGGTATAAGCCACAAAAAGGCTTATCAATAGCACAAATCTATCTAGTAATTTTCACCTCTCAGAAATACTTGCAAAGATCTACCGAGAAAAAGTAGAGGCACGAGGGGAAAGGGACTGACTCTGAGCAGACCCCTCTCATGTAGCAAAGGACTACTGAATGTAATTTTATGACAGAAAAATACATTAATTGCTCAGCTATCTTACTCCAGAGGGAGCAATCTGCAAAGGTACAGCTGGAAGGAACTTTTTCAAAAAGTTGTATTCTACATGCCATTGAAAAAACTTTTATTACAAACACTACAATGGAGGTATCTGTACAGGAAATAAATTCGGTTTTACTTTCTTGCATTGCCCCATGGGTTCCATTTCCCTTTGCTGCACGGGCAGTGATCACGTGCAGCACAGCGGTGACTCAAAGCCCCCACGGAGAGGCTGACGGATCACTAGCACGGAGTTAGGGCGGCCATGAGGAGTTCCATTTTATACACAAAGTTACGGCCTTCCATTTTATTCCACTGCACTTCCTTGAACGGCCCTCGAAGATGATTCCACTTGTTGTCTTGCAGTACGTCACCTTTGGGGAGGTCCTTGCACTGACTCCGTGGAAACTGGACCATAACTTTGCTGCCACTTTCTGGACCATTACGTACTGCGATGAACAGAGATTTTTATGAGCATTTTTACACTGTAGGAATTTCTCATATTAAATATCCTTCCTCATATGTGCTATACATTACTCCTACTCAATTCCAAACATGCTGAAACCAAACAAGGGAAATTATCTTACTTTTTTTGTAAAAGTTTCTCTTTGAACTTTCTCGTCTCCCACTTCTCTAGGATTTTGTTGCTTTAGCACTGCATGTGCTTGGTTATAGCAAACCAGAGGAACATTTGACAAAAAAACCACATGTAGACCTTACAAATTTATTTTTCCCTAATGACGGGAATGGGTAAAGGGTTTTTTTGCTGATTCTTACCTTGGAAGTATTCCCCACCACTGTGTTGAAAAACATGATCAAAAAGATATTGTTTCCAGTGGATTTACCTCAAACCAACGGCTGTTGTTTTTAATCACAAAATTCTGCAAGACTGGTGGAGGTCTTCCGTTGGGTTGGATGGGTTTTTGTGTTTTGATGTTGAGTGGTGGTGGTGGTGTTTTTTTCAGGTAAGCAGTTAGGAAGATAACACTTACCTTTCCCCTTACCCATCAAGCTAGCCTTCTACAAAGAGATGACTATCAGGCTGACCAAACATAATTTCTCCCTCATGAATCAATGCTGACTATTCCCCATCACCACCTTCTCCTTCTCCTGTTTGGAAACTGCTTCTGGGACTTCTTTTTTGCCTCACCTTCCCAATAACTGCAGTGACACTGACCAGACTGTAGTTCCCCAGATTCTCTTTCCCGATTATAGGATGTGACATCTGCCCTCTTCCAGTCCTCAGGAACCCTTCCTGATCACCATGACCTTTCAAAGATGATCGAGAGTGGCCTTACAATAACATCAACCAGCTCCCTCAGCACTCATGGATATATCCCACCTGGTCTTGTGAACTTGTCTGTCTAGTTTGCTCAAAGGTTCTCTAATTTGATCCTCCGCTACTGACGGTAAGTCTTCTTTGCTCCAAAGTTTCCCATGGGTCTCAGGAACCTGCGATTCCTGAAGGCCAGTCTTAAGACCAAAGCAAAGAAGGCATTGAGTACCTTGGCCTTCTCCATGTCCCGTGACACCAGGTCCTCTCCCCATTTAACAGCAGGCCCACATTTTCCCTAGTCTGCCTTTTGCTGCTGACATACCTGTTGAAGCTCTTCCAGTTGCGCTGTACGTCCCTCACCAGATTCAACTCCAGATCAGCTTTAGCTTCCCTATTCCCATCAATGAATGCTTGGACAGCCTCTCTATCTTCTTCCCAGGTCAACTGATCCTGCTTATCATCTCTTGCAGCTTCCTTTTCGTGTCATGACTTTAGTCATGAGCTCCCTGTTCATCCACACAGATCTTCTGTCACCTTTGCACAACTTCTTCCACATAGGAATGACCATTCTCGAGCTTGAAAGAGGTGATCCTTGAAAAAAATAATCAACCAGCTCTCTTGGACCTCTCTTCTCTCCATCCCATAGGACGGTATCCCACAGGATTCCTCAAAGAAGATCCCTGAAGAGACCAAACTCTGTTCTCATTAAGTCCAGAGCTGTGATCCTGTTGTTTGCCTTGTTCCCTTCTCTCTGGATCTTGATGGTTTCTCTATTTTTTTCTACTCTAATTCTAAGAAATATTTTCAAGCCTGTGTACATTAAATCAGATTTATAGTCAGTGGCTTACTGGGCAAAGTATTGATTCTATTTAGGTGTCAATCTCATACACAGAAGAGACTGTTTCTAGAATATTCTACTATAAATCAACATTGTTCTATAAATGTCTAGCGACTGTCTGAGAAAGAGACTTACAAAGCCTGTAGAATTCACTTAAGAATGTTAAGATTTTCCATACATTTGCAATAGAAAACACTACCTGAAATGGCATAGTCTCCATTTGGTGATGCTACAGTTATTGCTGATGCGTTGCCAATACTCTCCACCGGCCCCAGACCAACATGATTACTGAAACTCAGCACGTGCCATCCCATAACTTTCGCAAGCTGCTGAACTGCATGTACTTGGTGCTGTGACATCTGTAAGATAACAAGAGGTTTGTCTTGTGTTCAATACCTGCACACCACAGAAAGAACTACTTACTGGTTTTACCAAGCTTCTCTCCTGCTGTACAGTAATTAGTAATAAAAGTGACTTTGTCTTCTAAGTTCTCTAGTTTCAGAGGAACTTCTTTTAACATATATGCTCTATAAGTGCTTTGCTCTATAGAGCTTTGTGTTATTTGAATTTAGACTAGTTCCTTTGCAGAGAGAGAAGACTGGAAGTGTTCAAAAAAACATGTAGCTGTGGTACTTTGGGATATGGTTTAGTAGGCATGGTGGTGTTGGGGTGACGGTTGGACTTAATGATCTGAGAAGTCTTTCCCAACCTGTGATTCTATGACTACTGCATTAAGCACACTACACAGTTAGATGAATTTTTCATAGGTATATAGGCTTATGCATTTTACTTTAGTATTGCTTTCAATTTACAAAAACCTTCATTTAGGTCTTAAGAACAAATTCAAGTGATACAAACAGGATTCTGAAATAATCATTTCTTTGAATGGAAATGAGAGCTTTGCTGTAAAATACATAAAAATCTGTGATATTATCATATTAAACTCAAAAAAAATAAAGTTGAGGTTCTCAGATGCATTACCTCCATTAATGCTCAAGTGTAAGCATTAAGCTTTAACAGCTTAAAAGTTTAAATGTTAATGTTTTTCTGCACCAAGACTTAATGCTTGTAACGAGGAAATACCTAGCACTGTTCCACAGTTCTCTGCGAACAAGCCTGAAAACACTTGACCAGAAAGAGATACCCTCAGCAGAATCTGTTTCAACTTGTTTTCTGTGTCATGGAGTTTTGTTTAACTGCGACAGGCCAACCACTCTTACTAAAGACCTGTATTTTGACTATTTATAATGCAAAGTAGGGAGACTGTCACTTCTGAATAAAATCAGCAGCTTGCTCTAAGCAATTAAGAAAACAGTTCATTCAAGTATCAGCTGATGTAGTAATGGCTGACGCTAAAGTGAACATTAACAAGGCAATGTTGAAATGACAGTAATTGTGGGCTCATTAAGATCTCCACTCCAGACAGGACTTGGTTACAGTAAGTTTTACATATGCCGAAAACCTTGTTATGACTCTCACTGACTTTTCTGAAGTAAGCTGAAAATCTTAGTGCTCCCATAATGATTAGCATAAAGAAATGTATTTTAAATGGAGGGAAAG